CACATTTGAACACCCTTCCTCGATTTGGGAAATTTCCCCTTTCAAGGCCTCCTATCCTGAAAGTATAAACCAAGAACCCTGAGCCTCTCTGCATCCCAGGTGCAGATGAGACCCAGGCTCCCTCCCCTGGCGCCAGACGCCCCTGTCAGGAGGCATTTCCAGTTTCAGCTGTAGCAGCCGGGGCCTGTGCCCTACAGCAGTGCCAATGGGATCTCGCACAAACAATCCAGACATGTAATTTCAGCTAATATCACTTCTAAACTAATGTAATTTCATAAACTCTTTGGCAAGACTGCTATTAGCAACCCAGAAATGCTGCTCAAAGCCAAGTCTATCCTCAAACATGGCATGAGGCCCTGTCCAACAAATGACAGCTCCCTATCGCCCGTCTGCGCTGAGTTCCCCACATTGAAGAGTATTTACTATAAGCAGTTAACTTTTGTTGAATACTTATATAGAAGCCAGAAAAAATGAGAACACTGAAGCCTGGTGATTGTATTAATTATCAAAGTTCAAGTGGCTAATAAGTGGTAGAACCCAAATTGGCTCATTATCCTCATAAATAAAACCTATTTTATTGATGAGGAAAGTGGGGTCCAGAGAGGCAGATAACCTCTGGAAATTACAGGGCTCGTGCGCAAAACAGCCAGGATTTCACAATATACTACAATGCTTTCCTTTAATGTCAAGCATATAGCTCCGGGGCTTATCTTTTTAATAATATCTACCAATTACAAGGACAGCTCAAATCTTGGTATCTAGAAGGATCCTCTCTTTGATTCCTTTCAATAAGCATAACAAAAGCCCCACACTGGTTAATGTGACCCGAATCCTATCTTTTAAATCTTGATGTTGTCTTCAAAATGAGTTCAAGCAAGTGGCACATTCTATACTTGAAGAGTAAGGAATGAAGTCATTATTCTCTGATCGATCCTGGTGCCCTGTAATTTTCTGCTCTGGAACTGCAGAATCTAAACTATACCGTCTATAAATCTCAGGGGGTTCATTATAGTTACAGACTCTGGACACCAATTCCTGGTTTTGGTGCTTCTGTTGATGAGCTGATCATCACCAAACAAGTGAAAACAGCCCTGCCTGGGGCAGGCCCTGGACGGCTGAAAGTTGTGATTCCCCTTGTCAAAACCCAACACCATCAGAGTCATTACACGTGGCTTTAGCACATGTAGTTGCTGCTGTTCTGATGGCAAAATAGGGACGAGCCTGTCACAACACACTAAAGACATTGACTTTTTTTAAATGAATACTTAAGCAGCCTATGCTTTGTACTGGACTTCTGCTGAACACAGTCTACACATTTTATTTTGTTGTTAGATACACTTTTTTGGATTGTTTGTTTGAGACCGAGTCTTACTATGTCACCGTTGGTAGAGTGCTGTGGCATCACAGCTCACAGCAACCTCAAACTCTTGAGCTTAAGCGATTCTCTTACCTCAGCCTCCCAAGTAGCTGGAACTACAGGTGCCTGACACAACATCCGGCTATTTTTTGTTGCAATTGTCATTGTTGTTTAGCTGGCCCAGGCAGGTTAGAACCCGCCACCCTCGGTGCATGTGGCCGGGGCTGTAACCACTGTACTACAGGCACTGAGCCAAAACACTTCTATTTAAAAACAAAGAAGACAAGATTTCAGCTTTGAGCCTTCCAGGTTAGGGGGCTTAGAAGCATTTAAAACATTACCTTCTAAATTCCCTCCTTCTGAGTGTGTCACATTCTTGGAAATACAATACACTGAAAACGGAAGAAGCAGAGGCAGAAAGAATAAGACACAAGGGACGGAGTTCTGTAGACTGGAGCCAGACCCACAGAAAACCTGTGAATTTTTTTTTTTTTTTTACACAATGAATTGCTTTTATTTTATTTTTACTTTTATTTTGAAACGCATCCACATTTCAGCATTTAGTGGTCCTGAACAGAATGTGAAAGAACGCAGCCACTTGCCAGGAAGTCAAGCCCGCCAATTTTGGGGATCAGCTGTGCTCACCAGTTCTTTCTGGATCCCTGCTGAGGATTGGATTGTGAGAAGCAGCAGCACCAAAACCAAAGTATGCACTGAATTCAAGGTTTTTTTGTTCCAGTTGTTAAATTCCAAACTAGACCCCAATTGATTGCAAGGATGACAAAATGAGAGCCCTGTTTAAAACTTCTTTGATTTTTAATAGCAAAAGCAATTACAGGAAAATAAAACAATTCAGAGAGAGGGTGTGTGCTTACAAGTGTCTTCATGTGGGCTCTCTCCAAGTTACCAAGGACTTGAGAGCTGGCAAGTCTGAGTAACACGGGTGACCGTTCACCTTATCAAAACCTGAGCTAAAAAAATGCATCAGCTGGTGATGACAGCAGAGGTGGCAGGGCTGAGGACCCAATTCATTTCCTAGGTTGGTGGAGTGAATAAACGCAATTCCAAAACTAAACAAGGGAGGTCAGAGATTCTCTCCAGCCTTACCTGATGGCTTTGGCCATCTTCCATCCAAGGAAGTGTCATGGAAAGTGTTGGGTGGTGACAATGCAAAGAGGGACTTGAGGAGGAGGGAGGAGAAAGCAGCACTCCTCTATAAAGGTGGGGGAGAGAAGATATGGGGAAAGCCCTGAATTCCTCACCGAAGGCCAGTCTCAGAGGGGAGCAGAGGGGTTACAATCTACAATCTATGCTTTGGCCAAGGGTGGGAGTGGAGGAGAGTGGGAAGGGGATGATGGTTTAGAAGGGGGCATCATTTAAGACTTAAAGAAATCAGGGGTGCAGACAAAGCACCCCACACACCCAGCAGTAGTCCCACAGGCTGTGACCTGAAACCTTCATGTCTACTCTAACAAGCCCCCAAGCTAGAGGGCTGTTGCAGGGAGGGGAAGAGACAGGGGCAAGGGTAAGGAGAGAAGGCAGAGACCCCAGGCCAGGTAATCAGCAGCAAGGTGATTGTGTGATGTGTCTTTTCACAGTTGAGTTAGATGTGCCCCGCCAGTTATGATGGGAACCAATTTAAATATACTTTCTTGATCCCAGAAGTTCAGCTACGTGGACAGTGGTTACACTTGATGGGATGATTTGTTATAGCACAATTTATATATTTCAAATGGACAAAAACTTAGTATCATTTACAGTATCTTAAGATAAACTGCCTTTGAATGGGAGCTTCCTTTCCAGTACTTTGAGATCTATAAGACATCGTATCTAGAAAATTTACTACTGTGGAAAATGAAGACTGCTTAAATCGAATGGGTGGGGAGGGAGACGGCCTGTGGTTTTCCTTTTGATTAATTGCTGTAACACTGTCCTTCAGGTGGCTGAGGGAGTTTCATATTTTCTTTAGACATCATTAGGCACTGAAGCTCTGGAAGGACAACTGTGATGCCATCTGAATTCTGCCATTTTGCTAGCACTGATATGGCTCTTGGGTCCACCACTCCATTAGAACTATTAACTCCATTCATATTAATTTTTGCTACAAATCTTACAAAGGGGGGTACTTCTGGGTATTTAGGTCCACATTCTCTTTTAAGGCTGTATATTCGGTTTTCATAAATTGTTCTTGGAGGCCCAATTATCATCCCTGTCCATCTTGTAAGTGTCATGTCTTTGTCATCTTCTAGACCCCAGCTAACTGTGCCATCTCCTACTCTTTTCTGGCCTTCTTCAAGTTCTTCCAACAGTCGGAAATGGCAAGGGACTTTTACTCCCCAGCCTATGGTGGCTGCCATCTTGCGTCACTATCACTCCAAACCTGTGGATTTTTAAAAGTAAAAAACTGGAAAAAATTTCAATGTTTGAGAAAAAGAAATTAGAATCACTTTTTACTCAGTCCATTTGATCACATGTTTTGGCCTCTTTACTTTGTAATATTTTTTTCCTTTTTTAGTTTAAGAATAAAAGGAAGCTGCATAATATTCCATGGTGTACATGTACCACAATTTATTGATCCATTCGTGGGTTGATGGGCATTTGGGCTTCTTCCATGGGTGATTGGTGGGGTCACCTCTATGGTTTTATCTTACAAGGGTACAAGTGAATCTTTCTAAAAGCAGAGTATGAACGTTTTAACTCAATAACTAAGAAAATGACATGAAGGTTATGTTAACCAGTTTGATGATAGTATTTCAAAATGTATATGAAAACAACACACTGTACCCCATGATTGCATTAATGTACACAGTTATGCTATGAGAAATTAAAAAAAAAAAGAATAAAAGGAAGCACCAAAACTGTTGGCAAATCTCTTTGAGTCATTGGAACAATATGCACATAACCAAGATTGACAAGTCAGGACAGGGGACATTTCAGGGAGTGTTCAGCCACTTCCAAGTCTCCTGATATCATTTATCAGGAGACTTTAGTTTTAGCTTTAGCTTGGGGCCTGCTGTGTCCAGACCTATATGCACCAGCACAGGGTGCAGAGGCTATTGGGGTCCTTGAAGTTTGTGGGCAGGCACATGAGCAGATTGACACTACCAGAGAGGATGGACACGAAAGAGACAGTATGTATGTGTAAAAAAGGCTGAGCACAGCAAGGGCTCATGGGGAAAAAAAATGCAGAGAGGAGGACAACTGGCTTCCTTGGCTATGTGTGTAGATCACCCTCAGCTAATTATGCTAAATGCCAGGATTGAACATCTTCCCTGCAGACCCACAAGGGAGATGGATGAGAAAATACTGGTGAGATTCTTGCAAGGCTGAATTTCCAAGGCAGCTTCAAAGGGAATTGTAAGGAAGATGTGAGAACATCGGGGGAGATCAGTGCTGTGTGTGCAAAGGCAATGTTTAGCTGTACGGAAGTAACTGTTCTTTCGTACTCTTGTTCTAATAGGAGATTCATCAAAGCTTAACTGAAACTTATAGTTAAATGACAGGATGTGTGACATGAGAAAGCAGACCACCAAGCCTCGGGTAGATGTCCCAACATTCCTTGGTTACTGGCGACTTGTTTCAGATGAATTTAAAGTCCAGCTTATTTGCGTATTTAGCCTCCTCCTGCCTAATTAGTAACTAAAACTTCCAATCACCAATGTGAGTTATTATTGTGGTTAGTTTGGCATAAATGGTTAGGCAGTGATATACTGAACCCTTTCAAAGGGAATTTTTCCTGCCAAAGAAACTCTTCTCAACCAGCGTCCATCTCCAACTGGTAGGTGATTCTCCCTTCACTGTCCAAAGGGCAGGCATTTCAGACTAAACAAACTTTCTGTCAGCATTCTTTAAACCACACCTTGGAGGTGACTTCATGTTCAGGTGACTAAGCCTGACATTAGCCATAATCAGGACTTTGGATTTGTACCTTCAATCCCCTCTGGTGCTAATTAGTATTTATAAAATGGAAATTTTTTATAGCATTTCGTCACCAAAGTATATTAAGTACCAACATTTATAAAGGGTTTTGAGACTGACTGAAAAAAAGAGAAGATGTGAAATAAAATCTTTTTATCACTAGGTAAAATGTAAGGAAAGTTCTAGTCCAATGTAATACATATTTTTATAAATTATGTAAAATTAAATAAGTAGGATCAAATTAAAAACTTTCTAAATTTTTTTTAAAACTCTAAAAATAATGTCTAAAATATTGAGATCTTCTCATCTCTTTTTGCAAAATGAATTTCAAGGAAAATATAAGCCAATCATTATTTATATCATTAACAGTTTGATTCTATATATATGTTATTAAATGATTCATATGTCTTTAAAATGCCCAACTCAACAGGACACATAAAAAAATTACAAAAGATAAATGAACCCAGCATATCTGATTTTAATATTCACTTTTAAGTAAGAATAATCTTAAAAAATTTCAAAAGGTGGGCAGTGCCTGTGGTTCAAAGGAGTAGGGTGCCAGCCCCATATACCAGAGGTGGCGGATTCAAACCTGGCCCTGGCCAAAAACTGCAAAAAAAAAAAAAAGAATTTCAAAAGGTGACAAATCTTACATTAATCCTTAGCCAAGGGCTAGGATAATAATCAGAGACCTACTAAGTTATAGTTCTGGTCATCATGTCTTATACTAAGTATGATGGTTAATTTTGTTGCAATTTAACTGACTAAGAGAACCCAGATATTTAGGCAAATATTCTGTGTATGTTGGGAACATCAGAAGTTTCATTTAAAAACCAACTAGAGAGAGGACTCAGAAGAAGTAGAAAATCACATGAAAACAAAAAATAAAATCTAAAAGGAAGAACATAAACTCCCTTTGTTTATTTACTACCATTTATAAAAGGAAGCAAACTCAAAAAAATCGAAAGAAACTCACTGGCTTCTCAATAAGAAGCACTAGTTTTCAATATCTGGGACGTTTATATAAAAGTGGAATATTTTCTCCTCTTTAAATTCATACCAACTCCTCTCAAGTCAACACTTACTCTAAATGTCCAGTAGATTTTTAATTCAATATATTCTGGAAATTTTGTCAGCTGACAGAGTCTGTTATAAACCATGGTACCAAATATTTAGAGGAAATAATAAATGTACTTTAAAAGTTCCTTACTATTGGAAAAAAGACATACCGTTCAATAAACAGTATTGGCATTTTGGGGGTAAAAATACGCCAATATTTTGGGACATCTGTACCTCACACCAAATATAAATAAAGAGCTAAACATAGGGCAAAAGCCTAACAGAAATAAAAATATTAAATATCTTTTTACAGCCTTTTGGTGGATAATGTCTACCAAGGCAAAACTCGAAATTCAGAAGTCATAAAGTAAGACTAGTAGACTGGATTACATAAAATGCTAAATTTTTGTGAGGCAAACCAATTATCCTGTCCCCTGTAGGGATAAGTCTTCTGGCTGTTTTAGTCTGTCGCTGAAGCTTTCTGCTGTATTTTGAAGTTCTCTGAATGAGAAGTTCTCTTTCATTTCTTTGAGTTATGTTATATCTTTATGTTGTCTAGCTTTTTACCGACTTTTTCCTTTTTTTCATTGATGTCCTGAAAGTTTTTTGTTTTTTTTGTGTTGGCTTTAAACTTTCTTTTCTATCCAATTTAACTTGCTTGCCATCCATATTCTAAGTTCTGTCTCTGACATTCTGACAACTTCCTTTTGGCTGGAATCTGTTGCAGTGATTCTTTGGGGGTGCCAGACTAGCTTGCTTTTTCAAGTTGCCAGAGTTCTTTTGCAGGTTCACCGTCATCTGAAACCTCTTCTCTCAGCTCCAGGCAGACAGGTTTGCAGTACACCTGTTGTCCTTTGCTTGGAACTCTTCTACTTAGCAGTAAGAGGTCCCCAGGTGGCCCTTTTGTGTTCTGCTCCAGAAGACTGATCCAGCAGGAGACGGGTGGAGGTATTCAGGGCCTGCTGTGCCTCGTCCTCTCCCCCACCCCTGTGACTGTCACAGTCCATCCAGTGCGAGAGGATCTTCACATGGAGTGATGGGTTGATGCCCAGCCTCTGCTGGGAGCTCAGGGGGCTGGGTGAGTCCCTCTCCACAGGGAGGGTGTTGCATGTGATTACTCCACCCAGGTCTCCCCTGGGCAGAGGCAACTGGATGAAACTTTTTAGGCAGTGATCGTGTGTGTCAGGGTTGCAGATGTTTTCTCCACCTGGGTCCAGGTGCAATGGTGGCACACAACTAGCAGGTCAATAGCACAGCATGGGACCACAGGGGCACATCCCACCAGGCAGCATGTGGGAGCTACAGGGACAGAGTCATGGGGCCAGCACACCAGGCATCTGGGGGTCTACTCCTACACAGGTCCCAATGAGGCAGTCACAACGGGGCTTCTCACCTGGCATCTGCAGCACCTGCTCTATTTAAATCCTCCATGGGGGAGGGGTACTTTGTTCCTAGTCACAAGGCACATGAGAGTGTCTGCTCTCCCCACCCCCTCCCCAGCCCAGCAGGAAAGAGGCAAAGTGGGCTGCAGCAAAGCTGGAACCTCACAGACCTAGTGCTCTGGATCCGAGAGCTCAGAATGACACCAGTTGCAGCAACACAGAACAGAAGCCAAGGTATATGGTATGCTCCCCTCCCCAGGATGATGTCACCCACCTCTCCCAGCAGTACCCTGAGGAGTCTGGAGGTCTGTGGTGTGTGATGGGAGAGCCTCTCAGCTCAGGTCACAGTGTCTGGGCGGGAGCGGGGGCTGAGTCTCAGGGCTTTCCCCCTGCCCTTTCTCACATGTGGATGCCTCCCCCAGGTACCTTCCGCTCTTGCTGAGTGGTTGGCCCACCCTGCTCCATCACACCAAGTGTTTCTCATCCAGGGTTCTCGTTGCTTCGGTGGTTTATTAATACACTGTTCCCCCTGACAGTGGCATGTGCAGGCTGCTCCTAGTCCATCATCTTCAATTCTCACCTCAGCTCAGGTTTTACTCTCCAGCAAATTAAATTCTAGAAAAAAAGTTTTGAAATTTAAAAAATTTCACTTATTCATATGTTAAATAACACAGGGGAATATGTTTTTATCCAAACTATCTTTGCTTTTTCCTAGACATTATAATTTCTTTTTTTTAAATTTATTTTATTTTATTTTTTTATTAAATGTTAGCTGTATACATTAATGCAATCATGGGGCACAGTGTGGTATTTTCATATACAATTTGAAATATTTTCATCAAACTGGTTAACATAGCCTTTATGTCATTTTCTTAGTTATTGTGTTAAGACGTTTATATTCTACTTTTAGAAAGATTGACTTGTACCCTTGAAAGATAAACCATAGAGGTGATTCCTCCAATCACCCTCCCTCCATCCATCCACCCCTTTCCTCTCCT